CCTTTTTCATGGCCTTATGTGACAAAGTATTTAAATAATATTTACCAATTCAGTGGAATCTAACAGGGCCCATGCCATGAGGCCATCTGCTATAGCCTTGAACTTGCAGCCTCTGGACTGTCAACCATGCACCCTAATACCCACACCATCTGCTTTTTACAGTCCCTTGCCTATGCTAAGTATAACTAAACATGTACATAGAAGCATATCATTCCCCTACCAGGCATGCAGAGAGATTATCCTGTAGCACATCCTTCTGAACAGCATATGTCAAAGATCCCCACCTTCCTTGTATTCTCTCCAACCCCATCTATTCTGAATAATTGTTCTTACCATCCTCAGTTAACACATCAAGAGAACATATTATTGCAAGGGCAGCCAAACTATTAACCTTTCTAGCCACAAATGGAAATCTTGATGTAGCCAAGCGCTGCAAGATGCACAACTTTAGAAATGCACTGACCTCAGAATGAACAACCAGCATGCAATGTCCCACTTTCAGCAGCTATGTGTTGTTAGATGCCTTCTTAGCATAAAGAATGAGCTGAAAACTGAAATTAGAAAATGAATGAACACAGAGAAAAAGATTTTATTTTTATTTCACTACTATTCTTTCTTGAGGAGCTGTATTTAAATTGCCTGGGAGCATGAACAGTGGTTGGGGGGGCACAGCTGCACCGGTGGTGGTGGGAGCGTGGCGGCGGGAGCCCAGTGGTGGTGAGCAGGGAGCTCCCACAGACACTGCCACTCATGGGGGGGTGGGAGTGGCAAGTGCTGACTATGGCTTGGGGACCACCTGCAGGCACCACCAGCAGCGTCAGCAGCATCCAGGGGCAATCATGGACTACCTGCAGACCATCTGCAGGCACTGACAACAGTGTTGGCAGTGCCTTTTTGTAGGGGTGCACCGCCACGCTCAGGGGGTGCACGAGTACCCACATGCACCCCCTACACTTTGCCTCTGCCTGGGAGTTGCACATAGCTCATGAGCTATGATTTGGTCACTACTGTATTACTGTCTAAAGCAGTTCTTTTCAATGCTTTTTGAAAAGATTTTGAAAGGCACCTCAGGGTGCTGCAGCATCCTCAGTTAGAATCACTGGTCAAAAGAAATGGAGGTCCAGGTTTTCAAAAGACCTCAGTTCCCCTTTAGGCAACAAAAACAATGGATTTTCTAAAGAGCCAGGCTGACCTGAAACATTCATCATGGGAGATGCTGGGAGCTGAACACTTTTGGAAATCTTTATATGTCTAATGAGGAATTAGCTGTTTTGGAATTCCAGGCCAAATTGTGGGTGTTGACCCCCTGAAAACGTGGCACCAACTTCAGCAAAATCTGGTCTACACATGAACAGAGTTATTAAGAGGCTGCCTAGCTTCCTCCAAAGTAGGACTGCCACCTAGTGGAAAGTGCTCATGCCCACACACCCTGCTCTTTAAAATTTCCATTTAGTAGGACAGGACGCCTACTTGATCATCACTGAGGTGCATAAGGTTTCAGGTTGATTCCACAAATATCTCCCCTAGCAGCAGCTCCTTTTGGCTAAAAGACTTCCCTTTCCAAACTATATGGCTACCCAGATTTCATTAAGCTGTTTACCCATGAGACACCTATGAAAGCTTGGATGTGTAGATGACTTAGTTGTGTTGTGCTTTATTTGCATCACTCACTCATTCTCTCCTTTTCTCCTGGCACAGCATAGCTTGAACTGCATGGTTCCAGAAGACACCAGAACATCCAAAGTCTAAATCATTTCTTATATGTAGTAACTTACCACACTCTGTAAACCAAAATGAGGTCTCCATATTCTCTAATAAAAATGTTTGCTTTAGTACACGTACCTTCTTTTGGTACGTTTACCTACAAAGCAGCACAATCAACTTCCTTATACATTGTGAACCAAAACAGCCTTTCATAAAATGTTTATTTTATTACCAGATAAATCCTGGCTAGTTAGTCTACAGGTCTTGAAGGCTTGGGGTTTATTTCTCATGTGACGCATCAAATATCTTTCTTTGTCAGCATTTCATATTTTAAATGCAGCATTTTATATTTCAAATCATGGTGTCCTAACATTGTGAGGCACTGCTGGTGCCACACTTTCCTCCCAACGAGGATCCCCCTGTGTTACCTGCCCAGGAGACAAGTGGCCTGGCATAGAATTATAGGGGGGCTGGCAGGGACCTAGCCCAAGCCCTGTGCAAACTATCCCAGACAAACCCCAAGTCCAGAAACTAGGCTGCCACCCTCACACAGCAGTAGGCATCACCCCTGGCACATAAGGCAGGAGGACTATGGCAGCCAATGTCCTGTTGCTGCACAGGTGGTGAATAGATGCTCGAGAGATCCCAGGTAGAGGCTGTGCACCACTGCAGAAGGCGGCAAACCCCACTCACTCTGCACCAATCTGAGTGGGGGTAAAACCCCTTCCTGCTCCCAATGCAGTGTCGGTCTGACCCTAAGCAGAGAGGCAAGACCCTCTAGCCAGGCCGCTGCAGGGCTGGTGCCAGCAGGAGCATTGGCACAGCCCAGTTTAAAACCCACCCCCAGCCTGGCTGCAACCAACACCCAGTGCCCCTGGGAGGCACCCAGTGCCTCCAGCCTTACAGAACCTAACGTGGTGCCTCTGTAAGGCCCTGGGGGGAAGTGCTAGGTATTGTATGGGGCTTGCAAGGCCTCCCCTCTTGCCCCAGGCCTTCCCCAACTCTAGGGGCAGCCTCAGTCTGATCTGTGTATGCCATGGCCCCTCGGCACCCAGCATCTTGGCAGGACTGGGCCTGGTGGTTGCTCCTTCCCCCTCCTGAGGTGATTCCCAGTGGTGCCAAGCCTGCCTCCCCATGCATTCACATGGGCAGAGCCACACTGCAGCACTGCACCTCCCTGCCCCTGCATGGGGGCGCCACCCCCCGTGCGGCCCAAGTCCCGATTCAGTTCCTTTGGGTTTACTCTGTGTCCAGGGCCCACAAAGGATCTGAATTGGATTTAGCATGTTCAGATTCTTCCCAGGCCTTGACATGTGACAAGAAGCGAATTTAAAGGAGCTGAGTCTGAATGAACTGAATCTGGTTTGGATCCTTCCCAGGACCTTGATGTGGTACATGGAGCAGATGTGAATCAGATTCAGGTCATTCACATTCAGTTTTCATGGCACACCAGTTGAAAACCACTGCCCTACAAAGCCATCTCTGGTCTATGCCAAGGGCTGCTTTCTTGCTCTCACACCCCCCAGTGGAAGCCTCCACTCAGCTTTGCTACCAATTTCCATCACCAGCAGCTATGGGGAGCAGCAAGAGTAAGTGGAGGCTGCAGTAATGGAGCAAGAGAGCACCCCTCAGCACAGGGCAGAGAAGGCTGAGATGGCCACTTGTCACTGTAGAGGGGGTGGGTGGCACATGGTAGAGAAATGCATGAAGCATGGCAGAGAAGGTGCCCCCACGACCAAGTGCCACTGACCCCATGCTACCATATGCCAGATCCAATCTCTTTGCAGGATGTATCTAGCCCATGGCCTGTAGGTTGCTGACCTTTTGGGTGTTGATTTCACATACTGAGAGGACTTAAGCAGAAAACAAATGCATTTCAATATAAGCCTAAAAAAAAACTGAAAAAGAAAGATAAAGCTTGCTATTGATTCCTTTAACATGAATAATGTTGGCCCCAGGCTAAGCATTCCTTAAGTCAGTCTTGGATACACCAAAATCTCTACAGGCCAGCATTCCTTCAAACTGCATGGTGTGTGTAGCCGCGCAGGCGTGCCTGCCAGCACAGCCTTAGCACACCTGTGCAGCTGTGCATGCTGCGCAGCTTAGAGGGAACACTGCTACAGGCGTGAAGCAGGTGAGGCTTGAAACATGGCAATATGCTTTGATGAGTCCAGCATTCTGGTCAGCCATTGGGAAAAGCCAAAAACAGTTACTATCCCTGCAGTAGAAAATGGCAAATGTGACTCTCCTCTCACCTCTGAGGTTCTCCACCCCGTGGAAGAGGAAGATGCAGAAGAGATTATTGGCCACTACTTTCAAAGACAAAAGCCTTATAAATGATAATTTCTTGGAGTGGACAGGACTTCTTCCAGAAGTGAAGTGAAGTTTCCACTTCTGTGAGAGGCAGGAGGTCCCTTCTCCCTCTCAGCCGTAACAGTTAAGACAGAGCAGATGCAGATTCACCTCTCTCTCCAGGAAAGAAATGCATGTTGTACTTCCAGACTGGCCCATTTTGGGTCTTTGACAGATGGCATATCATCCCATGGGGAAGGAATTAAAACCAGTCATTCAGGGCTCCCATCTATTTCCAAAGGGCATGTGTAGATGAAACAAGGGGCGTGTGTGCACTACACTTTAAAGCTGGTTAAATGCTCTTGCACCACTTTAAAGGTGTTGATGTTTGTGCGTATTGTGCAATTAATTCCAGCCACTGTGGCACATTTGGCAGCACGGGCAACTGGTGCCACCTTAGTCAGGGGAAACACCTGCCCTCCCAGGGACCAGTCAGCAACTGGGGGGGGGGAAGGGGAGGGCACGGCCAATGGCAACAACCAGGAAGTGGCCACGGTTCTCCCGGAAGTGGCCACCGTGCTTCATTTGCGCTCCCACTCCCCAGCCAGCACTTGCCAGGGGGGCACCCTTGTGCACCCCCTATGCACCGCCACTGTTTGGCAGCGTAATGTGCCTTAAACGACTTCGGGGCAGAGCAAACTAAAACACCTCCGAGGAGTTTTAGTTTGCTGCCCTACAGCTGCGGAGCGAAGTACTGGGCTCTGTGCGGCTCAGGGCCTGTGCAGGCAGCCTGTGCAGGCAGTCTGGCAGCAGCTTGGGAAGGCAGGCTCCACAAAAGGGAGAAAAAAACAAGTGGCAAGCCTGATCTTTTTTGCCCCTTGGAGCTTGCCTGTCTGCATAAGCTGCTTGGGGACCCAGTCCTTCCCTCCGTGGCTGTGATGCTCCCTGGGACTGCCTGAGCCAGGTGCCTGTGGGTGGGTGTAAAAGAAAAAGCGAGCCAGGGATTATTGTTAAAGCTTCATATTTATAAACTGCAATTTGGAATCTTCTGTTGAATGGGGATATGCCTCAGTGTAGAAGACTTCAATTTTTGGCAAGCAAATGGTAGAAAGCAGGACTGTGATTGTGTCCTTAATTTGAAATGCTGAGAGGACGTATAACCAAACCTGTTTCCCAACCAACCTCCTCACCACCCCGATCTACTCCCATGCTGACAGGAATTCCTTCACATCATCATCAGTTTTGACAAAAGATGAACAATTTTAATGACAGTGTCTCCAAAGTCAAAGAATTAGGAGGGAGGAAGAAATTCCTAAGATGAGTCATATACCTCCTTTCATACAGGACTAAAATGACATGTGGGATGGTTTTGTCCACATAAAAAATCTGGCCAGAGGATCAAGTTTGGGTTATAGGAGGCTGCACCCCAACAGCTGGCTGCTTCCTGGTCACATTGGCACACCATTTTTTCACACCTGTCTGTCAGCTTATCTGAAAATGAAAATGGAGGGCAACTGGTTAAAATTGTGCTGAGACCATCAGAAAGTCATACCTAGCTGACAATGGGCTGCGTTCAGAAATCGGTAGAGAATGATCATTGAATGGGCCAGGGAGAGGCAAATAATAGATTTTTGTCTCAGTGACCAAATCAAATAATCATTATATTTGACCTGTAATGAATGTTTTGCTTAGTTTTTGAGTTACTTCACCCTTTTATTTTATGCTTTTCAAAAAGGAATCCCTTTTCCTCCTCCCAAAAAATCATTATTTTAAAGCGGAAAGCTGATATGTTTTCTTTTGAACACACTGAAATAAAATCTTTCTGATTTTTTCAAAATTTTAACACCCACATTTTGATTGTTACAGTTTGCCATTTTTTAATCAGTAAATTAAACAATCTTCTATAAACAATCTAACAGGTCAAAGCCATCGTTAATGCTGACTGCCTTGGCTTTTCAAAAAAATTCCCCAAAGCACCCAAATTATGAAAATTTGCATCATAGTCTTTTTTTTTTAACTTGAATTTTACTTACCCAGAAGCTACCTAGATTATACTTTGCTTCTATTCTGAAAAGTGACTCAGTGAAAATCATGTCACAAGTTCCATTTTCACTGTCTCTCAATGATTTCAGTATCACATGCACGCCGTTTATAAGTAAAAGGTGTTTTCTTTCCCCCCAGCCTTGCAAATTCAAGTTGTCATGTGAGGATCACATTGGGTTCGATCCTCTCACACTGTATAACTTTTAATAAAAAGTCTGCAAGCAAAATGAGACTTTCCATGACTCCCGTTGATGTGTTTGCACATTGGAACTTCAACAGTTTTGCTGGTGGTATCCAAGGATGAGTGAAATGTGCCAATCTCTTCCAGAGCTTTGCAAGGTGCAGAATAAAACCCAGTGAAGAATTAGAGTCAGATCTTATTCCACTTATTGGACCTTTATGTGGACTTAGGCACTTAAATGTCCTGTTTTTCCAATGACCACTGAATACTGGGTATTTTTTTCCTTTGACTTCAATGGGCTTTGAATTAGACCCACAAGAAGCACACCCAGGGGGGTCAAAAGATGCTATTTTATGTAATAAAGATATTGGAATTGTGCATTGAGTGGTGAAATATTAAATATTGCCTTGTTGTGGACTCTTTGCACAGGGCTGAGTTCTACTCATATAAACAGCAAAAAAGGGATATTGAAATTAGGTGATTTTTTTCTTTAGTCACCTTTTCTGCTTTTGTCTCTGCCTTGCTTCCTCCTTGCCCCCACTCCTTGTGTTGTCCCAATATCATACCCAGTGCCATGAGTCTAATGTAATTAGAACCATTTGGTTTGGCATTTATTCCAAGAACTGAATGGTTTCTTTTGTTGGGCCTATCAACCTGAAGTATTCCATACGTGCTCAAATATTTCCTGAGAACTGTTCTCACATGCAAATAGGCAGGAGACAGAAAGAAATGCACATTCTGATGCACTTGAACTAAAAAAACACAGCATCACTATTTTTAATTCAGCAAACAAAACTGTGATATAGTAGCAAAAGGGAAAGTAAATAAGTTCCCCAGTAAAAGGAGGTTCTGTTTAATTCCTCAGAAAATATTCATGTTTATATTGTGGCTACCAGCAAGCAATGCCTTTATTCACAGCCTAAATACCATTAGCGGTTCTGCTTTTAGCTTTCTTTTACATTTTTTCTCTAAGTCTTCTCTGCATTCCCTGAAATTAAATCTTTTCCCTGATTTGAACTAGGTCAGACATTATGGGCGCAGACAGAAGTGCAGCTCCCAGCTGTAACTCAGAACGATTTTTCAAAGCATTCTGAATTACACCACCACCCCAGACCAAACAGAAGTTCACTGTTGGTTCAAGGGGGGAGGGGAATTTAGCTACCAAATGGGAGCCTGCAGCCAGGTTCCCATAGCACCTCAGGAGGGGCTCCAATATACCCACCCCATCCTCCTGGGGGGGTGGGGCTGAAAACCCCCCAAACTGAACTTCTGCTCCCTTTCCCCCCTCCCATTCGGAAAACAGCCGCAGGCTGGGAGCTGGTAGACACAAGTTACAAAAGATGCTACATTTTTAAATGTCTTTATCTGATACTGCATGCAATGAAGGATCATATTTTCACCCAATAGGCCATTTTTGAAGCTGTCTGCAGCCATGCACTTGTGTTTGGTCACAGCTATAAACTGCTTTCTGTGGCCACATTGAATAAAAAGTGTCACTTCTCTCTGCACCCCTTATCTCCCAGCAAAGCCTGTTGGGCTGTAGCTTGGGATGGGGGATTTACCTCTAGAAGAGGAAAAACATCATTTCAATCCCTACTCCTCTTGTAGGGGAGGGGTAGCATAAAGAGGGAAGGAAATTCTAAATTGCCACCTTGGTCTGCATTGCAGAACTGCTAGTGTGGGCCATCAAGGACTTGGCCTAGCTTCAAGAGTTAGCCTAAATCTGTCTCATCCCTGTCTGCTGGTTCGACTGTAACAGCCACACAGTCAGTACATCTTCACTTGTCTACCTTGCAAAGCAGTGCCAGAAGAGTCATGTCAGCTACAGGGCATGAAAAGGCAAACCTTCCAGTTGACACAATGCAATGAGTAATGCATGTAACAGCAAGTGGAAGTGGGGGCAGTCTGCGGAGCTGTGATGACTGCTAATTTGGACTACAACTCCCAGAAACCCTCAGGGCTGGGGGCCAGGGGGAAAAAGGAAGAGTAAGCATTAGGCTGGAAGAGGAAGAAGAAAGAAGAGCCTGCACGTGGAACCTTGCCAGTCTTGCATGAGGAGTGTACTGTGGAGTTGGGGATCCCATTGGCTTGGCTAGCCAGGATTATGGACTGGAAGAGCTGAGTTGGGGGCAGCTGCAGGCTGCTGTTTGAGTGCTCGGGGCTAAAGGTTTGTTTGGGGACACCTGCAGGGGTGTATGGGGGAAATTAAGGTACTGAGTATACATTAATACAGTTGTTAAAGTTCCTTTATCTTTTACCTATTCCCTCCCTTTGGCCCATTGGTTTGTGACCCCAACCCCTAAGATTTTCTGCATAAAAGTGGAAACTCCCCCTTATTTCTTGCGCCAGTTTCTGGGGCTGTAAGGCTGGCACAAAAGATCTTCTAGCAAAACTTCCCTTCCATTGTGGGTACAGCTCTGTCAGCAGAAGGTGGCTTCTGCTGTTATAGTTGCTATTATTCAAGGGAGCAGTGTAGCCCTGACAACAGTAAAACACTGCCAACAGAGCTGAATCCATTGCCAAGGGGCCTGGCAGCCCCTATAGGAAAAACAGAGCCTCACAAGTTCCTTTATTGGACTTGCTGGCTATGCTGCCATACCACACTACTACTATTTGTTCACTGCACATCACCACAGCTTAGGACTTGCCTACATCAGAAAGCTGCTGCCACTATAGCTAAGCAGGATAACTAGGTAAGCAGAGCCCCCTTGTAGATACACAGCAACAGCAAGTTTCTTCTATTAGCTTAATTCAGTCACTTTCCTGAGTGACCACAACAAAGCTGGTGGAAGCTTTTTTTGATAGTGTCACAGCATCCAAACAGTTTTTTTGTCAGCACAGCTACACTGGCTAGGAGGTGGGGCAAGTTGAATTTAAAAAGTAGCTGCTAGGGCTGTGCAAAATTTCGCTGGGTGTTTCATTTTGAAGCTATTTTGATGCATTTCAAAACAGCAAAATCGAAACAAAAAAGCCTTCAAAACAGCTTTGAAGAGAAACAAGGGCACTCGAAACATTTTGAAGTTTCAAAACTTTTTGAGTTTTGAAGCCGGGCTTACTTGGCTTCAGCGCCAGTCCCAGCTGGCAGTAGCAGTCTCCTGTCTTATGACAGGCAGATTGGGGGCTGGCCTGCACCCCTGGGAGGCCTGCGGGGGCTATGCCAGACTCCCCCCGGGGGGGCGGGCCCTGATCTGCCTGCACCCCCGGAACAGTGCTTTTGAAACGAAACGAAACTTGAAACGAAACACTGTCCCACTGAAATGTCAAAACAGAAGTCAAAGCATAACGGTGCTGTTTCACACAGCCCTAGTAGCTGCCTGATCTAGTTTGATACCTTGACCAACGATGTTAAGCCCAACACACATGAAGCATGCATGCTAGTCTGTCCTCCTTAGAAAAAAGGACTAACCCATGTTGACACACAGTGAAAGCAGTCACTTCCTTACCACACACCACCGTGTTGCCTTCACAGATCCATTCATATCTCTGCATCTTGGGGTCGCAGCCTTCCCGCTCTGCCTTGTCATAACAGCAGTCATGCTTGTGGCAACACCTTTCAGCAACAAAGAAACCGAGTTATGTCTGTCAGGCTGTGGCTGTTTGCTTTTCTCAAGTACTTCACAGCATACCTCAGGAGTTCAGTGTTCTGAAGGAACTAACTGTGTGTCCAATTGTCTAACGTCACCCTGCTCTGACTGGAAATTCTCTATTGTTCAGGCAAGTGCTCTGTCAATGCAACAAAAGCCAGCAAAGCTGTAGAACTTACTGTAGAAATTAATGAGAAAAAAAGAACAGATTAGACTTTGCTGCCCTTCCTTACATACACTTAGATCAGTGGTTCTCAACCTTTTTTGGACTCACAGCACCCCTCATTGGACTCAAGATACACCTCCATAACTTGTAAACCAAGCAGCACCCAATTTCAAGTCCCTGATAGCCCGTACTAGCAATTCTGAGATACACACTAAGGGGGTGTCCAGACAAATGTGGACGTTTGGACTTGTCCCCGGGGAATGCCTGTGCCATGCACACTTCAGCATGTGGCAAATCACCCTGGGGGTGGTAGGGAAGGCTGGGCCAGCACTGGGCTGGCCCCATCAGTCTTACTTGGGGGTCTCCCAGGGCTGCAGCAGTGGTGATTCTGCTGTGTGGAGCCAGGCCAGCAGCCTGCGTGCGGCTTCATGTGCCTGGCTTTGCTTTGGAGCAGTGCACACTGCCTGTGCATGTACTGCTCTTGTTTTTTTCTTCATGGTTTTTTTGACCCCTGGATATCCAAAAAAGGGGAGCAGCACACACATGGGCCGTGCTCCCTTGTAGCATGGAGAACATCTAAATGTGCAGTATGTGACTCTGCAAATGTGTTTGCAGCCCCACATACCATGCGGCCACGCTTGTCTGGACATGGCCTAAGGCGGCAACTTAGAATTGTCCTACCTCTTATGCTGCTACCCCGCCCCCCCCTGCAAAATGGAGTAGTGATTGAAATGAACCCACTTTCAAAAACTAATTTATAGATCACAGTGCTTATGTCCTTGCACAGGGGCACAGCGGTGGGGATTGGGGATCAGCCAGCCAGGACAAAAACCAAGCCTGTGCTTATCTGCTTAGTTTATCTGCTTATCTCCTAATGCCTCACTTATCTCATCACACATCCCTGAACCCTTCAAAAGATCTGGCAGTACCCCAGGGTGCTCTAGCACCCTGGTTGAGAATCACTGATTTAGATACAAGCTTATCAACTGCTTGAAGCAGGCAAAGACTTGACCCTGGTCCTGATTAATTTGTGCTGTAAGGCTGTTTATCACCAGCCCTGGGGAACGTTCAAGGAGTTTCCCCAGTTTGTGCACAGCCAGAAGCATGGCTCTATGGTAGACAACCTTGCGCTCATGTTATCGCCAGGAGAGAGGTCTGGCCAGAGCTCTATTTACTCCAGGAGTTCTCAACAGTCCACAGTCCCTAGGGAGCCATAAGCATAGCTTAGAGAAGCCTCAGAGTTGCTTTAATTATAACAATAGCCAGGTAGGCCCTCAGTCAAGTCCAGGACACTACAAAGAGCAAAGGTGATGCCCTTAAAGACACCCTTCCTTCTCAGTATATATTCCTATGCTCAGCCCAGAGTGCATAACTGAAAATAAGCTTGTGTGCTGCAAGATACTCACAAAGAACATAGCTTCTCTGGCTATTAAGATCCAGAGCAATGGCTTGAAGCTGAGGAAAGATGGGTCTAGCTGAGGCCCGAGGGGAAATGTATCAACAAAGAGTGTGCTTGGTAAAATGCACTTGTTAGGGAGGTCCCTGCTGAGGTCCCTGGTGCCAGGGAGTAAAGAAACCCAGTGTCTGAAATAATCTCTGCAGCAAGCATTCCTGGAGAGATTTCTGGCCCTGGACTGGAGGCAAAAATGATTCCTGGGTGTAAATTTTTTTTGTACAGTAATGAAGAGGATCCCTATCATCTCTAGGGAGCCAGGTCCAAGTCTGCTTACCACAACACTGTCCATGGAGCTAGCCCCATTCCCAAGTTCTGCAGGTGACCCTGTTCAGAACTTCCTCTCACCTGTGTCTGGGGGGACTTTCCTTGGCCCATCACCCTGGCCAAGGTTGTTGCGCTCATTTGCAAGCAACTCAGCTCACCAGTCTGCAATTTCTAGCTTTGCTCACTCTCAGGCCACGTCCACACATACAGGCATGTGTGGTTTGTGGTGCCACAAACCGCATGCATTGCATGTTAAACCATTCATGGCACTGCTGATTTACCACCAGGCAAAATTTGCTACCAGGATTTCCTGATAGCAAAAAAAAAAAAAAAACCACACAAAAAAACCAACCAAACAAAAAAACCCCAGAAGAAAACATGGAACAAAGCACACCAAAATAGCATGCATCAAGACAAACACAGAGCTCTGCGCTGAGGCACGCTGGGCCCCAAGACAGGGAGCAAGTAGCCCTGGGCTGGCTGCTCCCCTGTCTCCACATGCCACAGTGTGCCTGCTCCTCCATCTCCATGTGCCACTCCCTGGTTAGCTGGGGTGCAGAGTGCATCCTTGCTGGGGTTGCCTGGCGGCTAGCCCTACACTTAGGCACCCTGTGCTCCAGCCAGCACCCTCCACAGCACATGGAACCCAGTCAGAGCAGCACACTGGGAACTGGTGGCAGTGAGTACCCCTGGGTGAGGCACCCCCCACATCCAACCTTATGGCACCCTCCCCCATTACGAAGTGGGCCTGGGTACATGCCCCATATGCCCACCCCACATGAAGCTATTGGAATAAATTATGCAGGGACTCTAGCCTTTGCTGACAAAAAAGAGTTAATTCCCACTCTAATAAGGGATATATATTCTCTTAACTCAGTAAGATGCTACATGACTTGCCACACTAGCTCAGGACTTTGAGAATTCAACTGTATGTGCTCACCACACTACAGTACAAACTGCCACGGGTTATTTTAAGTGAATTTGTTGTTTTTTCACAGGGCTCTGTGGTCAGTCTTAGACTGAAACATTTCAGAAGAGAGATTTCATGCAGAATGTCTGCATGTTTTAATAAGGGCCTGTGCAGCCAGAGGAGGGAGCTCATAGAGGACACTGTGGCATGTTTCCTCGCACACATGGGTTCCCATGAGTGCCTCAAACCTGCCCTCTATTCCCTACACTGCTTCTCCATAGGTTGTTGGGTCAAGTTCAAGGCCATGGTCCTCATTTTCAAGGCCCAGGGTGTTTAAAAATCAAAACCAAGACTGGCAATTTCATCTCACAGATTTGTCTGCAAAATAAATGCCAGGTTTCATCTCAGGCTTGTCATCTCAGGCTTCCAAAGATGAAATCAGCTGCAAGTACAACAATGCTATTCACTGCCTTCAGAATTCTAGCAATGATATTTTAAGCGGTAAATGGACAAACCTCCCTAGGACATTAGATTGCAATCTTCCACATTAAAAGCCTAATACAGTATTCAGACCTAGGTTCTGTGTTCCCACTGAAGAATGCAGCTATTTTTAATGGCTAAACATAGGCGCTCACAGAGTCCAAGATGTGAGAGTCAGAGGAGGAAAGTTCTGCCAGGTTTATAGTGGCAGTGATGAATTGTGGGGTGATAATTTCTTGTTTCCTCCCCAGTTTTGTTTCTGAACTTTCAAAGGTAAAGAGCAGAGGGAGTAAATATCAACAGCAGTGTGAGAGGTGGGGCAAAGGCCAGTGGTCAAGTGGGTAGAGTTGAAGGGATCAGAGTAGTGTTTAACCTTTGGGGAGGAGAAAGAACAGTGCATGGTGGAGGGCCTGAGTGATAAGAAGCAGGCAGGCAAACAGAAGGGGAGCAAAGAATCAGGGTTCAAGAGAAATGGAGCATGGAGCCAGAAGGAAAAGGAAGAGCAGGGCAGAATAAGAGGAGTGAGGATGAGTAGTGGGGAGGTGGAGAAAGAGGAAGTAGGCTGAGATAGAAAAACCAGCAGAGAGTGACAAGAAGGGGCTAAAGAGAAGCATCCACTGCATGAGGGAAGCAGTTGCCCCTAAGTTGACTGTAAAATCAGAGGGTTGCATCTGTTGAGGAAAGCTAAAGCCTTTGGAGGCTGGCTCTCTTCTGTCCCAGGCCTACAGTTGCAAACTCACCTCAAGATGCCCCTTGTGAAGTGGATAAACACCCAAGGCCTGTATCTAACAACTTCAGCCAGCCACTTCTGGTCAGGAAATACTCTTCTTTCCCACACTTGAGTCTGGACTGGGCTTATAACAACCTGTTACTCCTTCAGTATACCAAAGGCCACAGCACCAGCCAGTAGGATCAAAGCACAGCTAAGCACTAGTCAGAAATACTGAAATAATTTAAAGCTTCACTTCACTGGTGAACTGCTTATTCAGTGAGTATTGCACGAGAAGACCTGCACTGATGAACATAGGCAGCACTTACCGGCTAGCAAAGACCAGTTAGTTCCAAAAGGGCACTGCACAGACATTACTGGTGGTAATTCTTCACCTCCTGTTTGCCACATTACCAGTACAGTAACCATTGCCCATCCTTTTGAGGTTTTAACCACACATCAAGAATGGAAAAGCTCACCCTCCTTGTGTTGACCGCAAGTGTTTGCAGAAGGTGGATGACTCATTCACAGAGTACCCAGCCCTCAGGGTGGTGAGAACCTTGGGGAATTAACTAAGTTTCCTCAACACCCACTGACCTGAATGGTTATTCTGGGCATTCAGCACCTCACAGGATCAGGCCCTTAGTTAGGCATGTCTGCTCAGGACTTTTGCATGTTCTTTGGATTTAAACAGTACTTAAAGCTCGCTGGAAATTCATAAAACATCTAGCAGAGTGGAGTAAGGGAAGCAAGTGAATTGATCTCATATAAAGGTGACATTGGTTTAACTAAAGGAACAGAGGCTGCCTATACACATGCTCGAGGGCGCAGGGGGGCAATTTTAATTAGAGTCGTTCCCAGAGAGCCATTCTAATTAAAACGCCTCACTGTCACATGTATTAAGTCCCCGCATGTTAAAAAATGGCCATAGGATGCTTAATCTAAACCTCATTCAATTAGGTTTAGATAAAGTGCCCCTGCAGCAATTTTGAAATGTGTGGGAGTTTATACCCGTGACAGTGAGGTCATGCTGGAGCATTATAATTAGAATGCGGAGCAGATTTGATTTATTGAGTCTGCTCGGACACGTTCTAATTAGAATGTGAACAAGTATGTATATAGGAAGCCAGAGAGAAAGAAAGAAAAGGGAAATTTTAATTACCAGAATAACACAGCAGTGCTGTTGCTTGTAAACAACATTTGCAAACAAGTTACCTAGAAAGAGTCCTCTTTTTTTGTATAATCAAAAGTGTCTACATCTCCCATATTTAGCTCTGTCTAGACAGACTGCCTGACTTAAGGAAAAGGAAATTACACCTCCTCCAATGGTGTTGAGGGCAAAAGTTGAAATGTCAAGAGCACGAGTCATTTTAAACATTCACTGCTCAAGGTAAGTATACCCCTTTTTACTTTCAATGGAAAATACTGCAATTAGCATGTACATTATAACTAGTGTGCCATGACGGCACACGTTCCTTTTTATAAAGGTATATTCAGGAAGGGACACCCAGAAGATTCCTCTAACTGGGGTGTCAAACATAGGGACTGTGGGTCAGTTCCAGCCTGCAGAGCCACTGTATCTGGCCCCCTGAGCAACTGGCAGTTTACCAGAAGTTGTAGGGCAGGGCCTGTTCTGGAATTTGGGGACATGGCAAAATGGACATAGGCCTTGGCAGCAGGAGGGAAACGAGGGCTGATGCAGCCCTGGTCACCTGATGGCTAGTTGACCCATTGCCACTGCCGCCAACATGGCAAGCAGTTGCTTGGCCCACATGCTTGCTTTGCCTCCTTTGCTGCTGGCCCTGCCGCATGCCCTGGACCAGAGCCAAAGTAGCTGCAGCCTCCACATGCACCAGATTAAAGCCACCCCACAGTCTAGGCTAAATCCGGGCCAGCAAGGAATCTATGGTCTGGATCCAGACTGTGGCATGCAGTGAGTTTGACACCCTGGCTCTAACAAACATGAGACAGAAACTTGTAAGGCCCAATCTGGTGGAATTACGCAAATTTATACCAGATAAAAATCATTCTTTTTCTGCAACAAAACAAATCAGTGAGGGGTCATGAATACCTGTAATTCAAGGGTCAAGTTTAAATTTTTAAAAGTGGCAATTCATATTATGTGTTTCCAGTTATTAAGCATCCAGATTGTGTCACTAGTATGAAATCCTGGTCCTATTATGATAGGGAATGTCAAAAGTCCATTGATTTATGAATAGCCCAGGTTTTACTCTTAAGGTCAGATCCTTTTCTGTAGATTAGGTACCTAAATGTGATCATTTTCTATCCTGCTTGAATCCTAGAAAAATCATCAATGCAAGAGATGGGTGGATCCTCTTCCGCATTGCTTTTTGCAATTTAGTTGTAAGGCTCAGAGGATGGTGTATTACAAAAGTAAACATGTTTATATTCTTTCAGGGACTCAAGCAGGGTGCAACAGGATCACACTTAGGTACCTAGGTCCAGTTAAACAACTAAAAAGTGGAATGAGATTTGGATCTTGATTTTCATTGTATCAGCATCTCCCAGAGTCAGTTGAATTTGTGGATGTCCAACCTCTCAGCAAGTTGGGCCTTCAGTATCTTGAATAACCCTCCTTCCCCCCCCCCCCTTCCAAAATATATGCACCTAAAATCAGCGGAGTCACACTTCATATTAAGGTTCTATTTTTAAAGGGTGAAGAGATGATTGACAGATATTCTAAACGTGTTACTGCAGTATGTGTTATAGATGGTAATAAGCAGAAGACTAGAAGCTTCAAGAATCCTGTTGACCTACTAGACTATATAACAATCCATAACCATGGACTTATTGGCACAGCTAGTAGTCAAGCTATTATATAAAAGGAATCTTTAAAAAAGGTGATTAATAAGGGCAACATTGGAGGCAAGTTGTGGGTAACTACATCAATTCAACTGTCTTTCATGGAAATGTTGCCCTTTACATCAGCAGAGAAACTGGCAGCTATTGGCTGCAACATCTCTTCCTTACTTGTTTGCAGTCTGCACTCTGTTGGATGTTACAGAAATATGAAGTGTCTGCAACAGTTGGATATTTTGAAAAAGTGCCGTGAGTCCCTTTGCAAACAAACTCTCGCTTGCTTTCAGTCCTGAAGAAAGGTGAAATTAAGGGCAAATGCCCCCTTGCTTATTGATCTTAGATAAATGGAACTTCAAGGTTTAGAGAAGGACCATGCTGTGGGTGCAGAGACACACTGCACTGTACAGGTGAAGGATTGGAGCTCACAGCACTCAAAAGGACTGAAGTCCATCAAACAAAAGGAATTGAATATACACCTGTCTCTGTGTGCCAGAGATAGAAAGGAATGGTTGAGCAACATCACTGCAGGTATATTGCTTCTTGCTTTTGGACATAAATAGCTCAATAACTTCTTAACAAGAACAGAAGTCAGAGAAGAGAAAACATTACCCCAGCACAATGCTCTGTTCCACTGACAGAATCTTCTGGTTGAAGGTGAACTGACATAGAGGAAAGCAAAGTTTTTCAATCACCCCTGCACCAATGTGGGATTCTTTCTTAGGAGAGAAAAGAAAAGGTGTTTCCATTCACCAGACCTTTCCAGATTGCAACTGTGTTTTGCTCCCACAGCTTCACTCCTTCCTCCCTACCCAGAGGAGTTCTGGTCCCCAGATAACTCTGTCAGTGCAGATCAATACCCAAACCCTCATTTTTTCATTGGCAGTGTTCCTGTGAGACAGGTTTCAATTGTGTCTCTGTGACTGCATCTACACAAAACACTGACTGCACAGTTATTACTGCACACCCATTTAGTATTTGCATACACAAGTACTAAATGACTGTGCAGTAACTGGAGTTACTGCGCACTAGTGTCCCCGAATGGCTTTTTGGTGATGCTAACTGCAGTAGCTCGTTACTACTACACAGTAGTGTTGCATCATGCTTCATGCCATGTGACACTACTGTGTAGTAGTAACGAGCTACTGTGCAGTCTGTGTCCTGTGTAAATGTGGCCTTATGGCTTACATGGATAACACAGGCCACATCTACAGAACTAATTCCCTCTGTTTGCTATGGGCAATATGGGAGCAGCAGGGTTATGTGTGTCCCTGAAGGAATAACTTAAAGGAGACTGCAGACTTACACTTGGGTGTATACCTGATGTTCTTCTTACCAGTCTGTTTTATCTTTAGGCCAGCCTTGTCCTCCGAGACCACAGTAGCATCCATAGCCTATGTATGCCAATGACGAGCGTCCTGTGCCACACGTTATGGTGCCAGACAATTCAACGAGTCCTCTCCTATGTAAGGAACGGGATTTTGCAAAAGCATCTTTCCATACTGCAAAGACAAGATGTGATATCACACCAGGTTTGAATAAGCTTTTCACGATTTTTTTTATGCTGATGACTTTTTTTATAATTCTGTGGCAGATATTGGGCTTCATTTCAACTTTCAATCAGGAGAAGAGAAGTTCCACACCAACGTCTCAATGATTCATTGTTCCTAATTTCAGTACCAGAATAGCTATGAGGCACATAGGCTGCAAGGTTGTGCTTTTATCAGCAGTGGAGCATCTATGGCAATATAGTCACAGCTTAGATACCCCCCATTACACTGTCTCATTTCCAGACTTTCAGGTGACTAGCAAATGTTAAAAGGAGGCAGTCCTGTTACTGTGTTACACAGGCTTCTGATTGTTAGTTTTTCAGGAATGTGCATTTGATCCCACAGGAATGTCCTGAGAAACAGTCTCCCTCACATTCCTTGTGTGTGCAGGTCTTATGGTAAAAGCACACAGCCTCTCTGCTATTAGAAAGCAGAGGAAAGCTGGCCTGAGGGAAGTCCCACAGACAACACTAATGAAGCACATCTTGCCCAAGTAACAAGAGAAGCTGCCTACACTGAGGAGGGATACAGAAAGTTCCCAGAAGTGCAGCATCTGTACTCACCTGCCTGAAGCAACAGCAGCACAAAAAGCTTGGGCTCCATCAAGAAGTCAGAAGGTCAGCTTTCTTTTCACTCTGTCTGTCACCGCCAACCTGAGCTGCCCTCAGCTGCACTGCCAAGTGAACCAAGGCGTGGGTGCGTCTCACGGTCTTCTTGCCCTTAGAGTTATATATTAAAGTGAAACATCCCCTCCTGAGTTCTTCCAGGGTCCTGAGTCTGATGCCTAAATAAAAACCTGGTCCTTCCCCCTCTCTCTTTGCCAGCAGAGCAGTGTGCCTCTATTTGCATATCATTATTCCTTTTGGGAGGGGCGCCTGGTGAGGAATTAGAGTGCCACCATCTCTTGGAAAGGTTTAGACATTCAGTCATTAAGCCTGGGATCCTCCTTTAAGCTGTTTTGCTTACAGACCTGGTTAATCTCTAAACTGCATCGTGGGGAGGGGCAAGACAAGCAGAGTGAGTGCTCCTGTCTGTGACTTAGACTTCCAGCTTTTGGTAGCTGTGGTGACTGGGATTTCTTTTTATAGACACTTCATTTCTATTTTTTAATAACTGAAAATATTCATGTGAAAAAAGTCACAAAACTATAAAAAAATACTCCTGAAATAACATTAAACACAAGGTCCAAATATAGACCAAGGAACTGGGTTAATTCAAGGCCGTTCCACAGCAAAACATATCCCCAGCCTATTTGTTTCTCAAGGTGTAAACGGCTAGACATTGTAAGCTAATTTCTTCAGTCCTGCCCATGTCCACCCCTCCATCCTAACAACAGTTCATAGCTTAGAGCCAAAAAGGCATGGTTTTAAGCAGCCTGAAGACAGAGTAGATATGCACCTTATAGACTAATTAAATAGCATATAGAGAGACCACAAACTTTCGTGAACTTGAGCTCACTTCATCAGATGCTTTGAAAGGACAACCCCAGAACACTGTATAAAGTGGAGTGATTGATCTGAATATAAAAGGTGCGAAAGGAAAAGGAAGAGGAAGGGGAAGGGGGAAGAGTGGAGAGGTGTGGGGGGTAGTACTGGGAGAGACATGCAAGCAAAGAACCCATAGGACAGAACTCACCAAAGCTAACCCAGGTAATGGGCTAAGAATCTACGATCCCTGTTTAAACTGGACTTAACACAGACCAGTTTGTAGGTGATTTCTTGTTTTACAATTTTCTATTCAAACTGGTTTTTAAAAAATTGCATCTTGGGAACAGCAATCCAGAGGTCAGCGACAGAACCTCCAGGGAGGTTAAAGTGTTCTGCCACAGGCCTTTCCTTTGTGTCTCTCTGCAGCTGATGTCAGATCAGTGTTCACTCATTCTTGCACACAGAGATTGCCCGCTCTGTCTGGTGTAGACAGCAGACAGGCATTGTAAGCAGGTGAAACAATGGTGGTAGTTGCAAGTGAATGAACCTCGGATACTGCCTTCCTTGTTATTTGGTCTAATGATGTGATCTGTACTGATGTGCAGGCACAGCCAGCTTTTGGGTCTATTGCAAAGCCTGGTGCCTCAGTGAGGATGGGTGTTATTTATTCTGTTGCTTGAGAGATGGTATTTGAGGTTGGGGGACAATCTATAAGCCAAAACAGCTTTGTCCCCCATGGCTACCTTAAGACAGTCTTCCTTTTCCAGGACAGGTTAAAGTTCATTAAAGATGTGTCTAAGCCAAGGTGTTCAAGCTGGGAGCTGTAGGTGAGAATGTAACCATGTAGTGCTTCCCAGGGATGCCCATGGCACCCTCTAGCACCTGCACTAGGTCACTACCTCTATCCTGGTTTGCTAAAATTGGCCTTAGCTCCTCACCTGCCACATCTTTTGTGTTCCCATTTCTTTGCATCTTAGGAGGTTGCTTTCAGACTCTGAAGTTTAGGCCTGTGGTGCCTGTTCCCCCCAACTGTCATTAGGCTGCTGGCCTTCCTTCATCTTGTGCTTCCACCTAAGTGGCATTCAGACCCACTACAGGCTTCATTTAGCCCTACAGGCTTTAAGTCCTTTTCCAATACCTTCCAGGGCCATCCTGAGCATCCAGGCCTCTTCACAGTCCTTTGGGGCATCCAACCCTCACTCACTTCTTGCCCACCTGGGTTCTGGGCCTGCTTGCACAGTCCTTTGGACTTCCAGCCTTCTCTCTCTCTTTACCCTCCTGGGCTCTGGACTGGTCTACACAGTCCTCGGGGCTTCTGGCCTTTCTCTCCCTTTGCCCTCCCAGGCTCTGGGCTTGCCTACACAGTCCTTTGGCCTTCAGGGCCTCTTTCACTCTTTGCCTCCCAGGCTTGGGGCCCACCTACAGAGTCCTTTAGGGCTCCTGGCTCTCTCTCTCTCGCTCTCCCCGACTTGCCCCTGCTGTGCTCTGGGTCTTCTCTCTTTCTCTCAGTCTTTTAGGCCCATAGGCCGTTTCACCATATCCTTTGGAACTGCAGGAACCCATTGATCTCCAGTTTGCACTCTTGGACTGTTCTCCACACAGTGGCAACACTGCCCCAGACATTACCTGTGGCCTACCCGCCTCCCCTGGCTGCTGCTTCTAGTCCTCCAGTCTTACACAATAAAAAAGAATAAGCATGTAACATAAATAACTTGACTTCAGTGCATAGCACTGTTGAGCTTCCTTTGGCCCCTGCAGTCTAGAGCTCCTTTCTTGCAGCTAGTAAAAGCCAGACTGCTGCCTCAGGAAGGGTCCTGACCTTATAAAGCCCCCCTTAGGGTCACCTGACCAGTTACTTCCTCTCAGGCCTGTCAGTCATGGCCTGGAGTCTCACAGCTTCTGTGTTTCAGGCTCTGATTGAACTTTTTATACATGGGCAAGCAGCTGCTATGTTCACAGTCTCTTAACTCCTAGCAGTTCTCGTACAGAGTCCTGGGGCAACCTGTTGCTCCCTGGCCCGCTCAGTACTGGGATAGGAGCCCCATTACAGACAGCCAGAAGGATTCTGTTGTCCTTGTCCCAGAAAACAGCTTACTATGTTGGAGGGTCATACTCAGGAGGACTCCTTGGAGGAATACAAGATGGATTGGAGAACATAGCTGAGACTGCCAGCACCCTTTTAAAGAGCATGGCATGTGTTTCCCCTCTGTTGTGGCATCCTTATTTGCCAGTTGGTGCCTGGGGGAGGGTGGGTAGTATCATGGTTTCACTCACTCTGCATCACTAACAGCCTTAAAGAAAAGAAACATCTGCTGTCCCCTGCCTTCCTGCAGGTGGTCTCCACAGGTAGTTCAAGCACTGAGGAGGATGGCTTCTGGCATGCTCTAATACCACTCCCACTTTGTCATGTACCTCCATACGGTCAAAGTCAGTAGAAAGACTATCTGAATGAGAACTCTGGTGACCATGAAACTACTGCAAATGGCCTCCAGACCAATTTGCAGAGCTGTTGCATCCATCCCCTTCTCTCTCCCTTGGGTGAGGACCCTGGAAGGTAATAAGAGGTCACCTGTTGGGGTTTGGTTATCACCTCCTTCAGGCAGCAGAGTGCAGGTACTGCAACTGTGGCTGACCCCATTGCCTGGTGCAAAAGATGGAAAGGCTGGGAATGTGTAAAGACTCCCTGTGCCCTCCCAGCTTGGCATGCTCATGAAAGCTAGAATCTGGTTTTTAGTTTGCATACGGAAGGCCTATCTCAGCAGTGCCCAGCAAGAGTTTATTACCTAGCCCAGCAAGAGTTTATTATGTAAGGCAGTGCCACCCGGTTCAATTGCATGCTTTAAAATATTTGCTTACTAAATATTGGTACTTGATTCAAAGGTCACCCAGCCTGTAGAGTGCTGCCTTTACCTGACTGCAAGCTGCTGTCAAGGGAAATATCCATTCCCATATAGGAATTGTATATAATAGGCTTCTCTGATGCGATAGGACAGACAAGCACCACAGATTTGGCTGAACCTGACTGGGGTATGGAAGTATGTTACACTGCTTATATTCACCATTAAGGAAGGCCTCCAAAGTTGTGCACTTAAGATACCCTGACACTGTAGGAGGTCAAATATCAATCAGAAGTAGTTAATGCTGAGGCATGTGGCCTTAGGCTGAAGCAAAGGCTAGCAGAGTTCCTTGTTAGCATTTAACACTTCAGATCCCATCATGTTAGCGATACAGGCTAGGGAGAGAGTTTCTGGTAGTCCCGTATGGCTGCAATTTGATTTTACATCCTTAAAATAGTAGGTGCTGACAAGATGTTGGGTTTTGGTCATATCTTAACTAGAATGTTACTGCCAAAGCAGCACATTTGCTGCCTAATGTACCTGGTGACAAAGGACTTCCTGAGGGGGTTGTGCTTACTGCATGCTGGCTGTCCTTCCAAGAGCCAGCTTGAGGAAACAGAAGGGCTAGGGACAGAAGTTACACACTAACCGGTTTAAGTAAGCAGAAACTGGTTTAAACCTGTTACAGAACAGAATCTCAGTGCACATAACCCAGTTTCAAAATGGCTGAAACTAGTTTAGGATAAACCTGGTTGAATGTAATATATCAGACTTAACTGATTTGGGTCAAACTGGTTTATGAAACTTCTGTCTGAGACCCCTCCCTGGTTCAAGTTAAATCACAGTCCCCCGGCATCCCAGCATGCTTTTCAGCCCTGGGCTGGGCTGTGTTGTCTGTTCCGGAGAGCAGAGCTGGCCCTGCCCCTCTGCTATCTAGCTGGAGCAGTGAAGCCTGGCTGACAAGCAGGGAGCCCAGCTGGGGATGCAGCTTATTCAGGGAGTGACTGCTTCCCACCCCCAAGCAAACTCTTGCTGGGGTCTGGGGCCAGGGAGGGGGTTAAACACCCCTTCCCCTGCTCAAACTTACTGCTGGCTGCAACTGTGGACTACAAATCCCAGAGGTACCTGGAAGCAGGAAGAAGTGATGAGCAACCCTGCTGAGTCCTGCTGCTGTAATTCTAGACAGAAAATCCCAGATATCTGAGAGGCAGCTGGAAGAGGAAGTGAACACAGCCAGAGAGCCCTGCTCTAGTGCCCCACAGCTTCTGGCCTAAGCCACTGCAGGCATATGGCTGCATTTTCTGAATCAAAGGTAAATGTCTGTTCACTTGTGTTCCAATTTAATCTGCGCAGTTAGATTAATTAGATTAATTGAATCAATTCAGCCTTAGGATTTTTGACTGTCTGTACCTAGCCAAGGTGAAAGCCATCTTCAGTGGAAGGGTCTGAGGGTCTGGTAGGCAGTTGTCAGATCCAAGGAATATATCCCAACCATTTGGGGAGTGCAAGGAAATTGATGTTCACTCTTGTCTGGTGGCAAGAGGATTTAGGTACCTCTGGACCAGTCTTGAGTTCTTGACCAGCAAGATGCACTTTACCCATTGAAAAATGGTACAAGCGGACTCAGGCCCTGATGTTCTGCTGCCTTGCACTGTGCATTGGCATTTGCACTGAGTTTATCTTACACATTCCTAAGTAATGCA